TTTCGTATTTCCTACACTTCATTATTCTCTACACTTCAGAGCCTTGTACAGTTCAGTATTCCCTACAGTTCAGTATTCCATACACTACAGAACCTTGCACAGTTCAGTATTTCTGACACTTCAGAACCTTGTACACATAAGTATTCCATACCGTTCCGTATTCCCTATACTAAAGCATTCTGCACACATCCGTATTCCATACACGTCACAATGTTGTACATGTCAGTATTCCCTACACTTCAGTATTCCTTACAGTTCAGTAATCTCTATACTTAAATGTTCCTTACACTAAAGTATTCCCTATATTTAAATTTTCTGTACACTTCAGTATTCCTACAGTTCAGTATTCCCTACACTTCATTATTCCCTACACTTCAGTATTCCCTAGACTTCAGAATTCCCTACACTTCAGTATTGTTTACAGTTCCATACTCTCTACAGTTCAGTATTCCGTACACTTCAATATTCCCTACACTTCATTATTCCCTACACTTCAGTATTCCATAGACTTCAGAATTCCCTACACTTCAGTATTGTTTACAGTTCCATACTCTCTACACTTCAGTATTCTCTACACTTCAATATTCCCTACACTTCAGTATTCCCTACACTTCAGTATTCTCTACACTTCAGTATTCCCCACACTTCCATATTCCCTACACTTCACTATTCCCTACACTTTGGTATTCCATGCACGTCAATGTCTTGTACACTTCAGTATTCCCTACAGTTCCGTATTCCCTACACTTCATTGTTCTCTACACTTCAGAGCCTTGTACAGTTCAGTATTCCCAACAGTTCAGTATTCCATACAATACAGAACCTTGCACAAGTATTCCATACCGTTCCGTATTCCCTATACTAAAGCATTCTGGACACATCCGTATTCCATACACATCAGGATGTTGTACATGTCAGTATTCCCTACACTTCAGTATTCCTTACAGTTCAGTAATCCCTATACTTAAATGTTCCTTACACTAAAGTATTCCATATACTTAAATTTTCTGTACACTTCAGTATTCCCTACAGTTCAGTATTCCCTACACTTCAGTATTCTCTACGCTTCACTATTCCCTACACTTCAGTATTCCATACACTTCAGTATTCTCTACATTTCAGTATTCCCTACACTTCAGTACACTTCAGTATTCCCCACACTTCAGTATTCTCTACATTTCAGTATTCCCTACACTTCACTATTCCCTACACTTCAGTATTCTCTACACTTCACTATTCCCTACACTTCAGTATTCTCTACACTTCACTATTCCCTACACTTCAGTATTCCCTACACTTCACTATTCCCTACACTTCAGTATTCCATGCACTTCAGTATTCTCTACATTTCAGTATTCCCTACACTTCAATACACTTCAGTATTCCCCACACTTCAGTATTCTCTACATTTCAGTATTCCCTACACTTCACTATTCCCTACACTTCAGTATTCCCTACACTTCAATATTCTCTACACTTCACTATTCCCTACACTTCAGTATTCCATACAATTCCATTTTCCCTACACTTCAGTATTCCATACACTATAGAGACTTGTTCACACGTCACTATTCCGTACATGTCAGTATTCAGTACACTTCAGTATTGTGTGTGGTTCAGAATTCCCTATACTTAAGTATTCTGTACTGTACACTTCAGTATCCTGTACATGGCAGTATTCCATAGACTTATGTAATCCATACACTTCAATCCATCCATCCTTCAGTATTCTCTATAATTAAGTATTCTGTATACTTCAGTTTTCCAATAATTAAGTTTTCTGTACAGGAATACTGTATTCCTTAAACTTCAGTATTGGACACACTTCAGTATTCTGTACATGGCAGTATTCCATATACTTATGTAATCCATACACTTCAGTATTTCCTATAATTAAGTATTCTGTACAGTTCAGTATTCCTTAAACTTCAGTATTGGACACAGTTCAGTATTCTGTCCACTTCAGTATTCCTCTTTTCTGTTCAACATGAAACATGAAACAGAAATATGAATTCATTTGTCTTCCATAATGTGACTAATCTTTCCGAGTAAAACAGAAGCATAAAAAAAACTTCCACATAAAATAGAGGTCTATCTTCATAAAGTATAAAATACATGATCTCATGACCAAAGCTTGAAGCATCCAGTGGCAATCTAATTCTAATGCTCTTGCTAATGCTAAACATCCACCTGCCTCCATACGAGTCAGCGCTGTGTATTTAGAGTCGATGTGTAGCGATCTGTTACTGACAGGACCCGGGAAATTCAGGATGTAATGCAGAGAGTTAAAGAGTCACAGTTGTTTATTCGTCTCTTTGGCCGCTAGCGTGTTAAAGTAGCGAAGTAGTGCTGATGCCAAAAGCCAGCTCGAGTCTCTCATCATACACACACACACACACACATACACACACACACACACACACACCAAGTGATCTGCTGAAGGACGCTCAGACTTATCACCCTCTCAGAGGTACTCTAGAGAGTGGCACGTGAAATCGCTGCGGCAGAAACGCTCCGTATCAACATTGCGTACACATGACCTCATTTCGCATGCCTGGCTCAGACCTCCTCGCCCCTGATGGGACTTTTCCTTTCAGGACCGCAGTGATAAATAAGAGTCCTGACAAGGAGAGGAATTCGATTATTGCCGACGTTCCTGCTTATTATTGCTTTACATTTTTGCAGCGTGAGAAGATGAGGCTTAAAAAAAATAGCATCATGTGTATCTTGATAGAGTTATCAGGATTCCTGCGCTGAGGGTATTTCAGACGAGGAGGATGTGCTCTGATATTCCTGGCCTCGTCTCGTCGTGGTTGTGTTGCAGATGGATGAGTCTCGGCTGAATCTGAGAGGGACCAGAGTCACGACCAAAAGAAAAAAAATAAAACCTTACGTGACCTTCTCCGGTTAGTTTAAATGTATGTACGTTATGGTGGACCACACAGGACAAAATTGTACATATTAATATTTACCTGTAGAACAAAATCTGCCATAAACTATGACACACACACACAGACACACACACACACACACACCTGGATCATGGACTATCTTACCAGCAGACCACAGTACTTCCGACTGCAGGGCAGCCTGTCAGATGTGGTGATGTGCAACACTGGTGCACCTCAAGGAACCGTGCTTTCACCCCTTCTATTCACCATATAAACCTCTGACTTTAGCTACAACTCTGGTACATGCCACCTCCAGAGATTCTCTGATGACTCCTCTATTGTGGGCTGCATCAGTGAAGATAAGGAGTACAGGAGTACAGAGGTGTAGTGGAGAGCTTTGTCAGATGGTCTGAGGATAACCACCTTCAGCTCAATATCGGCAAGTCCAAAGAACTGATAGTGGACTTCCGCCGAAACAGAAAGCCCCCAACAAGTTCCTGGGAGTGCACATCAACAGCAAGCTGGACTGGTCGGAAAACACCAAAGCTCTATACTGGAAGGGACAGGGCAGACTGTTTTTTCTAAGGAGGCTCAGGTCGTTTGACGTGAGCAGTAAGCTACTGCAGATGTTCTATCAGTCTGTAGTAGCCAGAGCCCTGTTCTTTGCTGTGACATGCTGGGGAGGTAGAATTAAGACTGGGGAGGCTGACAAACTCAACAAGTTAGTAAACAAGTCCAGCTCTGTTGTTGGTCACAAACTGGACAATCTGGAGACAGTGGTGGAGAAGAGAATGAGAAACAAAATGAGGCCCATTTTGGGAAACCCTCTTCATCCACTGTATGCTGAGCTGCGGCAGATGGAGAGCACCTTCAGCCACAGACGCACCCCCCCGGTGCAAGACGGAAGATGTTCCTTTGTGCTGACAGCCATCAGACTGTACAACACTTAGCCACCCCCTCCCTTGACCTTACTTTTCACTTTTGACTACACTACAAATGCACTGCTACACTGTTTTGATATGGTACCATAATGTAATTTTTGCAGTGCTCACACATCACATCACTGATTCAAAGTTTTTCTTATACTGTAAGTGGCATACTGTTAGCTAGCATTAGCTCTGCAGTACAAACTCCAAGATGCTAGCTAGGTCAAAGGGAAAGCATAAAGCATGAAGTGACAAATCCAAGTGATTGTCTCGAATGATTCAATCCTATGTGGTCCAACATTTCATCAGTTCCCAGCAACTTTAGTTCCTACCTGCCATTAGTTCCTGAAAGCAATAGGACAAGAACTGTGGTTTTCTATGGAGAGTGAATCTGACAGCACTGAGGTCTCGGTGGAGATCTGCATCACCTGCATCAGCACAATCATGAGCAGAGAGAAGGTCGATCAATGTCCTGCTCCCTGTTTCCCCTCACCGCTGGATTACTGCAGCAAGACAGCAGGCGACGACGTCTATCGCAAATAACTCTTTCTTCAGAACCTGATCACATGGTTTGTTTGGAGAACCAATGGCATGACATGATGACTTTTGACCTTACATCAATTTTGTACTAATTTTAGTTTTGGATAAGTGACAGCAATTCACATGATTTTATAAACAGCTTTCTAAGTAGAGCTCTTATTTTTAGCCACGCTTTCAAATCAGAAATACAAAAGGGCGGAGCTTTCTGCACGATTGACAGGAGACACTCTTTTTTCTTGGATGTTGATGGTCTGTGTCATGTTTTTTTCTGACATCTACAGTCCGAGTAACATTTACAGCTGTTCAAGATATATTTTGTTTATGTTATAAATCATATTTACATTGAACAGTTATTAATTTAATTTAGACGAGGGGGGTTGGGTTGAGGGTAGATGGGAGGGTTGGGTTGGGGGTAGAGGGGGTCCCCAAATTTTTTAGCACAATTTTTGTACAAATTGTAGCATGGTGTGTGTTTGATAATGAGTCTTTATTTATCACATATACATATGCACAGAGAAATTCTTTTCTTCACATACCCCAGCATGTCAGGAAGTTGGTGTCAGTGTTCAGGGTCAGCCATGATACACCGTCCCTAGAGCAGAGAGGGTTAAGGGCCTTGCTCAAGGGCCCAAAGGTAGCAGTTTGGCAGTGCTGGGGCTTGAACCCCCGACCTTTTGATCAGTAACCCAGAGCCTTAACCGTCAAGGCACCACTGCCCTGTTTGATGTGTGTTTGATGTGTGTATAGCATGTGATTGGTGAGTGTTGGATGTGCGTATGGTGTATTTTTGGTATGTGGTGTGTGTTTTTGTGCCACAGCAGTCCTTCCCAGCCCACAATGGCACTATCGAAAGTCATGGTTCAGATGGTAAGGTCGACCGGCACCTGTTCCATACTCCAGCGCCTCTCGGGGAATTTTACAAGGTGAGAAGAGCAAGAGACACAACAGCTGAAATAGGAGCCGAGCACTCAGCTGCAGTCACAAATCATGCTTCCATCAATCACTGTCACCATCCAGCATCCCGGTAATGAGGACCGGCTCGGCCGAACGGAACGCCGCTGCTCACAAACGCTCCAGGATCGGAACACTACAGCCACCAGGAGATGCGGCAATAAGGGCTGGACAACAACAACAACAACAACAACAACAACAACAACAACAACAATTATAGTAGAGTTCTATCCAGAATTTGTCTTCTGGAGTCTGGAGTCTTTTCCTTAATTCAGTTTCCTAAGTATTTATTGTGTTCTGTCTCATAGAAATGAAAGTGCTCATACGTTTATACGCTCAAGTCCAGACCTGAAAAAGTATGAAGAATCAGAAAATGGTCTGTTGCCTTAAAAAAACATAAACATCCTTTAAAGGACCTTCAAAAATTAGCAAACAAAAATCCAAAACAGAAAGTGTGGAAAAAGTGTAAGGTCTGGAATTTTCTCCCGAAAAAAGTGCAAGGACAATGTGAGATATTAAACGATAAAGATGCACTCTACTGATATCGAGATAAAGATCTGAAACCTTTGATTAGACCGCATTTCTACTTCAGCATTTTTGGCCGGACTTTTCAGAATATAAAGGTGATTTCTTGCTGAAGTTATGCAACACGTCTCGCTCGTTATTTATTTATGCTTTTTTCCGTGATTTAAGTGCGAGTAATCTCGTGAGTCGTATCGGGTCATGGGGAGGAAAAGTCTCCAGGACAAATGACTGAACTTTTAGTGAGCTCGGATTGCGGAAGGAATGAGTGAAGTCTAGGACGAATTTATTTATTTATTTAAAAAAACAACCTCTTAGGAAGAAAAGTCAAATTCAGAATACTTTTTTAAGGATATATTGGAGTGTTGTGTGCTTGGATTTATAGCTTATGTGGTTATAGTGATGGGGTGGAGGGGTGGTCATGGGGGTGGTCATGGGGGTATAGGGTCTGGTTGTGGTGGTGGTGGCCTTCGAACAGGTCATCTTAAAACGACAGCACGTGAAATGAACAGTAATCCTTAGTGCAGAAGAAATTGTCCTCACCACAAATGGGAATTCCATGAGAAAATTCGGAAGCATTTATTATTTATAGTGTCCTGTGTGATGCGCGGGGTGAAGGAGGCGGCGGCAGGAAATGGAGGTATATCACGAAAACATGTGATTCATGTGAACGCTGGCGCGCTCAGTGATGCGGAAAGATACCGATTTCTTTTTTTTAACGATGGCTGTGTATGTGCCTGATTTATTAACACCATGCAGCACTTTTCCACTGTAACGGATTCTTCCACGTAGAAGCTCATTAGCAAAACCTGACTAGCATTCAGCTCCAGCCTTTGTTATAAGATGTAAAGCTGTATCTTTAAGTCTGATCCCATTTCTGAACGCTGCATAATAGTTATTTAACACTCTATAATTTGTGGGAATATCTCCGTGCTTTGGGAAACCTCCAAGTCTCGGAGTCTGGCTGCTTCGCTTCGATTCGTTCTGCTTTCTTTTTTTTCGTTTTTTTTTAGAAACACAGATAAGATTTCAAGGAGTCCCAAGAGGGATATGGTAATGAGATTTGGTTGGTCTTACACTCGTTCTTCTTGAGATGTTTTAATGAGGGGAAATCTTCTGGTTTTGGAGTACTAGGTTTAGTTTGGACCATGTTCATGCGGTTGGGATTTTCTATTTCTTTTAAGCGTTCCTTCAGTTTAGTTTAGTTTATTTTTTTTTGTTTCGAACATTCATAATAAAATTCTCAAAGGTCTAGTCCACTTTAAGGTCCACTAGATATATTCGTTAGAAATAACTGGTCCAAACAAGCACTCGTGAGGACGTCCTCCTGTGTAAAAACATGCATTTTCTCTTAACTTTTAATCTTCAGAGTAATCTTTTATCCTGCAGTGGTTTTAGGAAACCTCCCTTCACTCTCTTTTTCATGTCTTCTGGTGGACGCTTGGTGGTTTGTCTCTGGAGGGTTTTGTGGACCGAGGACCATCACACTCCATCATTCTTGCTTTCTGTGGAGTTTCTCTGCCAGCTCACCCTTCTTCACCTCACAGGAATGTGGCTGCGTTTTCTCTCCCCGTAGACACCGCGCACTTTATTTCATTTACGTTCAGACGTTTCTTCTTTTTTTCCAATATTATTTCTAATGAAATTAAAACAGCGATGGAAATAAGCCTGGTCTTATCTGTCATTTCGAGTACTGGCTCATCCATTCTCCTCTACTGGCTGTGTGTTTTATAAAGGTACAACGGGACGCTTTTCAAGGAAGAACATTTGATAGCCAGACATGTGCCTCTCTGGAACCTATTAAGACAGTATATTAAACACATTCCCTCCCAGTGTGATTTGTACTAGCAGCCTTAACCCCTGACTTGCATCAAGGCTTTGGGAAACACAGAGCTCTTGACAGCAGAGTGATGGCTTTAGTTGGGACAGTACATGTTAATGTTATTGTCTTTGGCTCGCTCGTGGTGATACTTGCCCGCTCTGGTTTGCGCTCCATCCATTACGCCATCTCATCAGCCGATTTACACACAGTTTTACAATTTTCAGAAACCGGATCTCGTGCAAAACTTGTAGGAATTGTAACAGGCGAGAACATTTTGCTAAGTTGCCAGTTGTTACCCCACATCTCCTGACTTCTTCATGTGGCTTTTATCAGCTAATTTTATTATCTCTCAAACAGATTGTTTTTGCAGATTCTGGAATTTTCTAGGTTCTAGACAGTCTAGAACTTCAGACTTACTTTAGTTGGTTCTGTTTCACAGAAATTAAAGTACTGCTCTGGAACATTTTTTTCATCCCAGAGGTACAAACGTTAGCGCTGTAGCTCGTAGTAAATCTCTTTACAGCTATGTCGTTGATTTACAACCAAATTTCTTAATAGCTGTCTTAATGGCTCTTTTTAATAGAAATTAAGGTACTGCTCGAGTGCGTTATTGTTCCCAGAGATACAAACAACATTAACTTTCCCAAAGAACTAACGGTCCTAACTTGGGGTTGGAGATATGACACAAACACCGTATCATGATAAGACACTTCTACGATACGTAATATCTTTCAGGATCTACAGGCTTGCAAACCGACTGCCAGATAAACAGTTATTCAGTATTTAAAACACTCTAATGTCTACAAAAACAACGGACGTTAAACGGCAAACGATAAAGAAAGAAATTTTCATTGTTACAACAAATACTAATATAAAATATAACATTAGAACTGCTTCTAATCTGATTTGGTCATTTTATCTAATATAAACATATCTGTGATATATAAAAATGTATTGTGACACAACTGATCACAATATCATTACATTTTAGTTCTACCACGTACCCTTGAGGTTTCCGTTCCATTCAGTCCCAGAGTTTTGCTAGGTCTCCATACGTAACTCCACCTCTCACTAACTTTTTGTGTCTTTTCTGAAAATGAAGGAACTCTGAGAGCTTTAATCAGGCTCCATGTTAAAGTTGTTGGTTCATGACTGGATTTCTTACCAATTGTAAATTTTTATTTTTATTTTTTAAGACCTCTGAAGTAATCCTTTACCTGGTTCTGTTTCGTTGAAAGAAAGGTTCTGTTTGGATACATTTGATTGTTTCCTGAGGTACAAACAACATCGATGTACTCTAAAAAGTACAAAGATGGTCCTCAAGATCCAATTATATAGTTTACTCTGTGAGTTTCAAAGTTACATTAAATTCCCTTTCTGAAAGAATTCAGGATACGAACACGTACTCTTGACGGTTCCCTCGTTCCCACATTCTGAAAAGCAGCCTCAACATTTCTAAAGTTTTCAATCCGATCTTGTGCAAACCTCATAGGAGTTGTAAACAGCCGAAAACATTTTGCGTTCTCTCGTCTAAGCTTAACTTTAGCCATTGACGACTTTCCTTACAATCCTGGGACTCATAGGATCGCCTTTTTCCATTAGGATCTACATCAGTCTTTATTAAGGTTTCCGCCTCATAACCGTAATCTCGTAGAATCATGTCTAGCTGTCGATTATTCTGTGAGTTGGTTCTGTTTGAAGAAAATACAGGTGCTTTTACAGGTCATTTACACTTTTGTTCTCTCTGAGGTAATAACACCTTCAATGCACTCTGAAATGTGCAACGATTGGTCAGAAAGATCCGATGAAGCATTGGTTAGTTGAAAAGGAATACCTTCACAAAGAATCGGAGGTCCGAACAGCTCTCGTAAAAACGTATGGCTTTTCTGAAATGCAGCCGTACTCAACAGTTTTCAGGAACCTGATCTTGTGCAGAACTCATAGGAATTATAACAGACGAGACGCTTTTGCGTGCTCTCCTCTCAATACTTCTCTTACACAGTGTGTTTTTTTTCATGTAGCTTTCATCTGGACTAGTTTGTCGGCTCATTTCTTAATAGATTGAGAAATGTGACGGATGTGCGTCGTCTGTATTGTGACAGGAGGACGGTTTGTGTGCGCAAACATCGCCGAGCTTTGGCTTCGAGACTCGGCTGACTGTTGACACCTCCAGCTGTCTCTGGCATGAAGGCGAGATCCGACACTGCCGACAGAGACCCTGGGCAGGGGGCCAGGCCAAGCCACAGCCGCGGGTTTCCACTTTCCTCTGTATATTTTTCTAATTCGGCCTCCTGCTCGTCCCTCTTTCTTTCTGTCTCGCCCCATTTTCTTTCTCACTCTTTCCCTTCCATTTGTCTTCTCAGAGTTCTTGCCTCTCTGCCGTCTCTGCCAGACGACGTTATGTCGAGCAAAAAGGGAGGTG